GCAGGCCGGTAAACGGCCCGCGATGACCATGCAGTCAAACTGCGGTCGACTAGAACTATCAACAACACCTAGATGCAACGGCGCTTAAACGTAGGATCTTCAAGATAAGGTCAAATCTAATTTTTCAGTCCGAGATTGTACCTTTGTGGGTCCACTAAGCAACTGAGCATCGGTCAACAGCGGAAACCGGAGGAGAAACAACATCTGGCCAAGTATTTCACGCCGATTAGCGGAGGAAGTGTCCATGTTTCTTTGCTTGCACATGTTAAAATCCCACCTGCCAGAAACCGGTGTACAAAAGTGCTATAAAAACCACTGCTAAAACTGGTTTTACTGGTTAGCAGCCCAACAAATACAGTATTCATTGGCTGTCAAAGTATCCCGTTGAAGGATGATGCGTAACGCCTCATGTCCAATCGCACAAAACTGTTCCGACTCCCAGATGGCAATCGGTGATTCATCAACGAGGCCTAAACAATGCTCCAGGATTTTCGGCGCGATACCTGCACAGCGCACCGCCTAGAAAGCACAGCTATTCATGAACGCCGCCTGCGCGATAACACATTTTAATATTAGTCATCAAGGGACAAGGATACTTACGTTGTCCAGAATATCCAAGCAGTTGTTGACGTTGACAGTGTCCAGGACGAAGTCGGTGCACATCGTTACCAGCAACGGTAAGTCGTACTTGTCGGCACACGTTAGTGTGTCGAAAACGTTTTCTTGGGTAAAATTCGTCACCGTGTCCGTGTACATGTAGCTAAACAATTTGATGTTGTAAGTTGTCAATACAGCATGCGTTCCAAGAGAACCAAGATCGCATATGATAAAAATACTACCCTACCATAGCACGTTAGCAAAGGCTTCGGGATGAATGTCGGGAATATCGATGGGAGCTGTGCACTTCTCTGGCATACTTCCATAGAACATTGTCTGGAACACAGCGCTGCGAACGCTCATGATTAACCTGCATAAAGAGACTGACAACTATGCTCGAGGAAATAAAAAGGAACAGACGTGTTGTGCAGTCTGTGCGTTCGTCGTGTGCGGAAGCTGCAATTACGACGCGCCCATGGTCGACATATCTTACCTGTGGGCAGGAAAGAGCTGCTCCGCGTCATAGTCACGCCCCACCACAAACTCGACATCGCTCATTTCTCTACGGATTAGCAGTGGCTTGATACAATCACCAATCTTGATGAGTACCCTGCCGGGATTTTGGTTCTCTGAGGTCGAGGACTGATCGGAGTTGCTAAACATGTTACCAGAAACTGGCAGCAGCTTGTGAACGTTCCGGTTAAAATGGGCCTATCGAAATAAAAAGGGAATAAAAGTGCGGAATGCGAACACCTTAATTCGACAATCCCCAACTGGGGGAAGATGTTAGATGAGAATTTAAAGATCTGCACGTCGTATACGCAAACGTTTGAAATTACAGTATTCTGCGAATAAAAATTCAAAATCGTGAAACGATCGCCATTAGAACTGGACTAATGACTGATTGGGGTTTGGTACCGTAAAACCTCTCCTTAAATACCAAGCGCACTTCTTTTCAAAATACGGACACAAGACACAAGTACACTGCTTTACAAGTGCAAAGTACACTTCTTTAGAAGTGTGACAGGCAAGCACAGAGAGCTCACAGGTGACTTTATTGTACAAATAAAGTGGAGCAAATGCCGCGTGAATGCGGGGAAAAACACAACAAAGGCCAGTGTCTGGCAGAAATCAGCAAGTCGAGTTGCTGCGAGCTAGTTCTAGAGCGTAATGAAATGTAGAGAAAGAAATGTGCTGGCGGCAACGGCGTCACGCTGTCCAGACACATGGAATGTGAGTGCGCAGACTGGACTGTATCCAACGCGAGCGAATATACGCTGAGTCATACAGCGAGAGAGAGCGAGAGAGCAAGTATGCTCAGTGAGTGCGCCCGCGGTGTATCCGCATAGGCGGAGAGTGCAGCAGCCACTCACGTACGTACAAGAGAGGGCGAATCAGCATGTGTGCAGTGATACGCATACGCAAAGT